AAAGAAGTCAAGGCAACTGGACTTGCTGTATTTTTCTTGAAGACGTTTCACTGGTCATCCAACCAGCTTTCTCAATTCAGAATGAGAAAGCTGGTTGGATGACCAGTGAAACGTCTTTAAGAAAAATACAGCAAGTCCAGTTGCCTTGACTTCTTTTTTACAGATATACCATGACCTGGATGAATGAGAACCTTCACAGACATACGGCTGAAATTTCCACAGTGTATGGGCACCCCAAGTTTTTGATTTTTCCTGAAGTTCTTGTTTAAATGTCATTAATTGCGCATTTCTTAAAATGTTATTAAATTGTGAAATGTTAGGCCCCTTTCACATGGTCTGATTAGGAAGGGATCCATGCACAGATCTCCTGCTGATAGGAACAGATGTCACCATTGTGACATCTGTGTCCGTCCAGTTTTTTTTGAGGAAATAAATGAAATTACCAGACCCCATGTTGGTTTATGGACTATGGACTTGTGTCCATTTACCTCAGATTACCCCTGATCCGGCACGATCAGGTCTGGTGAAACAGAACTCTGATCTGTTTGTTTTTCTGGATCTGCCCGGAGCTGGGGGTAACCGGATGTAAATGGACGCCCATCCGTTTAGATCCAGCTGCCCATACACTAACATTGGGCTTCCGATCAGGTCCACCTGAAAAACTGATAGGCGGACCCGATTGGAAAGCACAGCAAGCTTCTGGGAAAGTGACTTGAAATCCTTGTACTATTACGTGTTCATGTGCAAGTGGCCTTCAACACAACAATAGAACACCTCAAACCAGCGGCACATTGAAACTGCAACATTTGTTTCTAGAAATAATGTTACATTGTGTATATACAAGAGCCGAAGGTGACGTGCTTTAGTATGAATGTATGTGTTTCTTTCTACTGCAGTTACAATACACTAATGTACAGAGTAACAGTGATTGTCTTCTTTTTTTTTTTTCCCTCCTCTTTTTTTGTCATGTAAAGGTGACACTGGTGTTACTTTAGAGGACGAGGCTGATTTAGTTTTGTACTGTACTCAGGGAATCAGCTTTGTCCCTCTGTTGTGCTCTGCCTGTTGTTCACCTTGAATTGTGAATGTAACTCATTTTCTGCTTTCATGTACTATTGTTTAAATATTGTGTTTTTTATATAGAGAATGGTTTTAGTTTGTTGAGAGATGTTTTTATACTATGTTGTTTATTTTGTCTATTGGTCAGTTTACTGGAGTATTTCAGTGATCTGTAAGTTTTGCTAAAAACGATAGAAGTTGAAAAGCCAAATGTTTTCATTTCTGCTTTGATAACAGTCAAGATATCAGTGAGTTGCACAGTTCAAATAAAGGTTTTCTTAATAAAAGCATTCTTAGACTCTTGCTTATTTCTGCATCAGTGTTCAGTATGTATATAAAGATGGACACTCTACATGAGATGAGTTCCTGTTTGTGTACTGCTAATATAGTTCTGGTATTATTTAGTAAGGACTTGTAATGACAGGGAGCAAGGCGCAGTAACCCACTGAAACCAATCACAATACAGTAAACTCCCAGTTATCCAGCAACCATGAGGATCGGTAGGTGTCTGATAACTGTAGTTTCTGGTTTCTTGAGAGTTAATATTAAGCCCTGGTTCACACCTAGGCGTATTGCATATGCGCGTCTGTCGCGCGTTGTCGTGCGTTTCCGAGGGCTTCTGGGCTGTATCCCAATGGAAACGCGCAACAAAAATGTCCGAAAGTAGTACATGTACCTTTTCAGGCGTGGGCCGTTTTGTAGCGCGTTAGGGACGGGCTGAAATACGCCTAGGTATGAACCAGACCCATTGAATACAATGGGATTTAGATGTTTGAGCGTTTTGTAGAGCGTTCGTCGAGCGTAGAACGCGCTACAAAACGTTCAGGTGTGAACGAGGGCTAACTCTCAAGCAAACAATCTGCCCTTTTAATTCTTGAGGCGTATCAATGGTTTGCACCTTGTGGTGAACCCTCTGTATTTGCTCTCATGAAGTCTTCTTGGTAGACTTGGATAATGATATGCCTCCCTCCTGGAGAGTGTTCTTCACTTGGCTGGATGTTGTGAAGGGTTTTTCTTCTCTGTGAAGGATCCTACGATCACTCACCACTGTTGTTCTGTGGGCATCCAGGCCGTTTTGTGTTGAAGAGCTCACCAGTGCATTCTTTTTTTCTCAGAATGTACCAAACTGTTCATTTGGCCACTCCTAATGTTTCTGCTATCTCTCTGATGGATTTCTTTTTTTCTGCAGCCTGAGCATGGCCTGTTACACTTGCATTGAGAACTCTTCTAAACGCATGTTGTGGGTTCACAGCAACAGCTTCCAAATGCGGGAGCCACACTTGGAATCAACTTCAGACCTTGTACCTGCTTAATTGATGATGAAATAACAAAGGAATAGCCCACACCTTTTGAGTCAATTGTCCAATTACTTTTGATCCCTTGAAAAAGAGGGGGTCACATATTAAAGAGCTGTGATTCCTAAACCTTTCCTCCAATATGGATGTGTATATCCTCAACTTAAAGCTGAGAGACTGCCCTTTAAGCACAGATTCTTTATTTAAGCTTCAATTTATTTTGGTAAACAGCCAAAATAACAAAACTTGTGTCTGTGTCTAATTATTTCAAGACCCAACTATACATGTTACCTATACTCCAGCCCTTTGATATCTGTGAGCTCACTCGCTGGCACCAACATCCTTTCCCCGACTTCAGAGTCTTCAGTCGTCTTGAGTGGCCAGCGGGACATAATTCACACACATGCACACAGGAGCTCATTCCAAGGCGCTGAATGTATGTGGAGCTGCGTTGGTGCATTCTAAAGAAGATTATGAACAGACAAGTGCAATTGTTTTATCACAGAAGAAACACAATCTCTGGAATCCATACAGGGTATTACAGACACTCATTAGATTTCTGTCTCCCGTCTGTGCAGCAAATGGCACAACTTGGGACAGATTGGTGGAACGGTTAGTAAGGTGTATATCAGGGGTGGGCAACTCCGGCCCTCTAGCTGTTGTGGCACTATAAGTCCCATGAGGCATTGCAAGACTGACTGTTACAGGCATGACGAGATTTAGTTAAAGCACAGCTGGAGGGCCGGAGTTGCCCACCGGAAATCTAATGAGTGTCTATGAGACGCTTTATGAATTCCAGGGATTGCCTCTCTTCTGTGATAAAACAAAGGCACCTGCTTGCTCACAATCTTCTTTAGGGCTCATCCTGGTGTATATGAAGCATTTGCAGAATTACCTCAGACAGAATCTCACACAATAATAATAGTGACACGATTTACTCCAACATGGGAGAGCGTCACCTCCACCTCTCTTATCACCAATATGGCCGTATTTCTTTATGAATTTGTCACAGTCATAGCGCCAGAATGTAGAAGTGTCACACATAAGAAGGCACTGAATTTGTCACATGTGCCAGAAAACGCAAGAAAACTTGGCACAGGGCTTTCTAATACGGCCATAACGCCAGAAAAGTGTCGCAAATGCCCTTACTGAATCGCCCCCAGTGTGTCACTTCTGCAATAAAGAGCCCGCCTGCTCGCAATGGTTTTTATTTTTCACATTAGTTCCTCTTTAAGGCCTCATTCACACTGCGGTAATTTAGGCCACACATGTCTGTGCGGCGTGCACGCCTTTATCGGGATGTTCCTGGGAGGAATAGGTACTGCGTATAGCATCCTGTTTTTGGACGAGGCCATAAGCACACCCGAACTGCACATCCATGCGGGTCCTGGTGTCTGTACTCAGACATAGACAGGATAAATTCTGTCTGCATCTCAGCATGGACACCCAGACCCGCAGGAATGTCCAGTTCTGGTGTGCGTATGGCACACCCGAACAAGTGCTGCGTGAAATCACACGTAGCACCTGTCCCTCCCGGGAATGGCCCGATGCAGACGTGCACGCCTCACGGACGTATGCTACCCGACTAAACGCAATGTGAATGGGGCCTTAGGGCTAAGCTTACTTTTCTAACCGTGTTTGATGTTACACCTATCATGAATCATGGACTCATCGCCAACTACACACCCTCATTTACCTTAATGGTAGGGTTCTTCTCCCCACAGTCTTGTTGCTGTAACTTTTTGAATTCTGTGCGGCTGTGTATGTCACAAACACAACAGAATCCTTTTAGGGGAGCAGAATCTGGTGTGTCGGGGACATGTCTACCTTTTGTTGATATTTGCAGCGCCATCCGCACCCTTTTTTGCAGCAAGGCAAAGAAAAGTATCTATTGGAGAGGCCACAAGTCTCATTGTGGCACTTGTATTTCTCAATGGAGTACTAGTGTGGTGACATCATGTCCATTCATACTTCCTGTGGTCCGTGGAGCTGTACAGAGCTATGGACAGGGACATTGCACCCATGATCCACTGATCACAGTTGCAATGCTTTAGGCAATGATGCCATGTATGCTAATACATTAATTAGCATACTGGAGAGAGATTCCATGTAAATACAGATCCATTGGGGGGAATTTATCAACAGGTGGAGCACACAGAAGCTGGAACAGTTGCCCTTGGCAACCAATCAACTTATTTCTTTAGTTTATTCAGTTAAGCTTTGAAAAGGAAAGAGAGAAGCTTATTGGTTGCTATGGGCAACTGCTCTAGGTCCTATCTGCTCCCATTTTGATTAATGTCCCCCATAGTCTTGCTTTTGCAAATAAATATATAAATGCACATTTTTCTCTTATTAATGTATAAATATCTGTGTAAAAGCTGGACCTGGCGCTGTGTATTCTACATATATAGAGACAGATGTGTATCCGGAATCCCCCCCCTCCCTCACACAGCCGCATTGTTTGTCCCATTAGGGTGACAGTTGGGTAAACAGTGACATGACATGCTGGGACCGTTTGGCCGCAGCCTCCTGTGTATTATGTAATGGTGATCATGTCTCTAGCTGCACCTCGTGACCCCGGGGACGGCACCGCTCCCTGTCACCAGCAGGTGGCGCACTCTAGCAGCGCGGCTCCCGTGTGACAGCTCGCACACTTCGTACAACGTGGGCGATGAGAAGCCGTGTCCGCACTGTACGTCCCGGTCGAGGGGGGGGGACACATGAGCTCCGTGTGATTTCCGGTGTCAGCCGGGCTCTGCCAGTGTGTGTCCGTGCCAGGACGGGGTGAGCGGGCACTTCCTCCCAAAACTTTGCAAAGTGCTGGGGAGGAGGGAAGACGGTTCCTCCCAGCCAGGACTGGTCTCTTCCGGCTCCATGTGTTTGTTATGTCCGCAGGACCAGAATAAGACACGTCCCGCTGTGTCTATGTGCAGGCGGGGAAGGCCCGGGGCCTAGGAGGACACCCACATGGAGAAATCATTGTGGGACAAGGCAGGTGTGTATGACGGCGGGGTGGTACTAGAATAGTGTGATCACAGCTCTCCTTCCTGACAAAGGCTACAGCACTATGGGGGATTTCCTGAGCACAGCAACCAATCAGCTTCTAGCTTCACCTTCTTCTGTTAAGCCGTGGAAATGAAAGATAGAAGCTGATTGGTTGCCATGGGCAGCTGCTTCAGATTCTGTCTGCTCCAGTCTTGTTAAATTCACCTCAGTGTGTCATACATAATTGCCTCATTTTTAAATAAAATGTTTGTTTTGCTCTGTTTTCAGCTTTTTTTTTTTAATGATGTAATAATGCAATGCTGCTGATCTCCTGCAGGCTATTTGCAGTGACTTCCTGCCTACAGGTGTGCCCTCCGCCCCTGTGATGGCTGAATGGCATTTCTCAGGGTGGGTTTCCTGAACCGTGGGCCATGCCTGCATAATGTGAGCCGAAATGGCCACTTGTAGTCGTCTTTAGAAGCCTGGTGACAAGGTAGAAGCAGGACTGGGAGACACAGACAGAAGGAGAAACTTATCAAAACCGGAGCAGACAAAATCTGGAGTAGTTGCCCATAGTAACCAATCAGCTTCTCTCTTCAGTTTGTTCAGTGAAAGCGGAAGCAGACCTTTACCCATATCTATAAAATGACAACAAAGACACCTTTAGGCCTCATTCACACAGCTTACAGTCGTCCCGTGCAGATCCGTGCAGTGCGCACAGCTGTATTGCGCCGTTCCCGGGAAGGACAGGTGCTGCTTGTGATTGTATGCAGCAGCTTGTTCTTCCCTATGGGAAGACGCGGCCGTATGCCACTGTACGCTCACCCGAGCTGCACATTCGTGCGGGTGTCCAGCGAGCGTAAAATAATAAAGTAATTTAATAGGAACTTTGTATTCTTTGCATATCTTACTTCTCTTTTCTTCCCTGGCCATGTTTACTAAGGGCAGATGAACCCATCTCCCATTACTTCCTGGAACTCTGGCACATGTGAATAGGACATGTGACCATGCACATCCTCTCAGGGGAGGAAATTGCCTTTCCCTGAGATGAGATTTCCCAGCAATGCTCTGCTGAGGAAATCTTCCCGGGATACAATGCTTGCGCATATTAGTTCCTTAATCCCAAGAGGACCAGGAAGTGGAAAAGAAATTGTAAGTAAAATACAAATATGTTTGTTTAGCTAATGAATGTAAAATGATTTCATGTCGGCGTAAAGAGCTGCATGCTGATGTGATTTTTAATCAAACGGGGGTAAAGGTCTCCTTTTAGTGCTTGTTTTAAGGGTGAAAATAAAGAAGAAATACCCCCTAATCCTCAGTCTCAGCAATGACTGCTCACCTATGTGGTATGTCCCTCAGCTTCTTCACATTTAATAGACCTGCATTAGACGTGATGACGGGAGAAGAGACTGCAGGCACCAGTCTACCAGCCGGGCAGGATTGGGGGATCAGGTGAGTATTTTCTTTCTATGTTTGCCCCCTGGACAAAATGAGCACTTAAGCCTTGCAGTGCGGGGGTAGCAGCACGGCAAGGGTTAATTTTTCAAATCCATTCAGAAAAAGGACTGTCCTTCTTCTCCGGCCCTTTGCCATGCGGCCACAGCTGCAGCTGCTTATATAAAAGAAGAGTTCTAATATGAAGGGGGGCTCCTGATGTAAAAGAGGGGGGCTTCTGATGTAAAAGAGCAGGGCTCCTGATGTGGAGAGGACTTCTGATGTAAAAAGGGGGGCTCCTGATGTGGAGAGGGCTTCTGATGTAAAGGGGGGGGGGGGGGGCCGGGGGGGGGGGGCGGCCCCTTCTTCGGGAC